ACATACACACCTCAATACACATATATATATACATACATACATATATATATATATATATACACATATATATATATACACATATATAAATACAGACACACACACACATATACAAACACATGCACATATACATACATATATATATATATATATATATATATATATATATATATATATATATATATATATATATGTGTATTTAGGCAGCACTTTTTCATTAATGCAAGTTTCATTAAATAATATTATTTATTATATGTATTGTTTAATATATTGTAATGTAATTGTCATCTTTGATAATGGCTTATGTAAGCCGAAAGCTTAGATAGGATTAAAAAATATGTATCAATATTGTGATTTTTTCTCTTCGTTTAATGATAATGTTATTAAGCTTATCAGATAATATGAAAAGAATTTACATAAAATAAATAGACAAAACTTGTCTATATTATTTAATGAAACATGCATCAATATATATATATATATATATATATATATATATATATGTACACACAGAGTAATTCCCTATTTTATGTATGGGTGGCCAGCCAGGAGTCCTGACTTAACACCCTGTGACTTTTTTCTTTGGGGTTTGTTAAAGTAACAAGTCTACTATACTAAACCTAGACTTTGGAAGAATTTGAAGGGTGAATACAAGAAGTTATGTCTTCCATACTACAAGAGTTCCTGGGGAAATCAGTTGACGTGATTCCTGGACTTCTCGAGAAGCTGGTAATGAAATCTGGTGCCCATATCGAATTTGAAATAAAACGTCATGTTAAGCGCTCTCCTCTTATATTCATTCCTTGTAAAAATTATAGTTAATAAATAAATTATAGGTATTTTAATATGAGGAGTTACCTTTCAATCACTGTGTGTGTGTGTGTGTGTGTGTGTGTGTGTGTGTGTGTGTGTGTGTAATAAAATTAACTGATTATTATAAGAATAGTTTTTGTGTGTGTGTGTGTTCTCATAACTTTGTTGTCTTTACCAGTAAATTACTGCTGTTGACTAAATTTCCAGCTGTCACCACCCCAGATGTGAGGATATTTTCTTATCATATTCAAGCAATATCGACTTGCTTTATTAAGCTATTTCATGTGAAAGGGTGCTGGAAAGGTAACAGTCTGACCAACAAGAGTCAAAAAAAATTCTGGTGTTTGTTCTTTAAGAGAGATTATGAAAACGTCAGTTGAGCTGAGAACTTTTCATTATCTCAAAGTACCCCCCACCCTCACCCCGCTTCATAAATTGGCCTTGTTTTAGTAGTTGCAATAGTAACATTATGTTGGCCTTGTTAGCTAACAGCTTCTTCTTGTCTCCTTAACAGCAAATCAAAGACTCCAATTTTTTTCCTTTCCCTTCTTTTCTCAGAAGATCGGTTGCTTCAAATCCTGCCTCCTTTAACTCCCTGTAATTGTAGTAGCTCTTTTCTCTTTATCTCCATATTATAAAACTGATATCTCTTTATATCATTTGAATGGTTGGCAACAGTTGTTATCAAGGGAAATCATATGTATCCAGCTTGCATTTTTCTCTAAAGCCATTTCACTATGATTACATTTTAATATTACAAGGTAAACATTGCTAACACTCCTGTTTTTAAGCAATAACTAACCGTAATGTTTTCTCTTATTTTCTTATTACATGAAGCATTGTCAACTTATTATAATGCTTGATTTAATAAAAAGATCAAAATATTAAATTTGATATCAGGAAACCACCATAGACTTATGGGATTTAATGTTGTGTGTTGATGTATTGTAGGTGTGTGTGTGTTCACATAGATACAACTAGAGAAGAACAAAATCTAGGGTTTCTACTACAGTTTATTCTTTTTTTATATAAATTGTAGGGAAACAAAGTTCTAAATGTCTCTTAGATATGTCTGTTTTCTTTTTCTGGTCCAGATGTAAGTTTGGGTAAGATTGGTGAAGCTCAGTCAGCCTTGCGCTGTGTTAGAATGACCAAAGTAAGGATTTTACTTATTTCATGGGTAAAGATTCTGCAAAACATGTCTGAATGCTATGCATCAGACAATGGAAAGAAAATACAGTTCTGTCTTTTTTCAGAAGTGGGGTCTTAAAATTGTGCAGATGGACAAAACTATTTCTTGTTCCTTTATTACTGGCATCATGGGAAAATGTATTTATTTGTTCCTTTTTTAAATTCTTTATTATTATTTTATTTATTGATTTTAATTAATTTTCCCATAGCCTTGTTTACTACAATTTTGTTTTCGTTCAAAGCAACACACTCTGTTGAATGTAGAAAAAGAACATTACAATCAAAAAACTGTTTCTCATGTTGTTTTGGAGCTGAAAATAAACAAAATAAACCAAAAAATAGTGCCTAAATTTGACCTCCAGAAATTCAGTAAGAAGTTTAATGAACTGATTCAACGTAAGTATTGACTTATGGCCACATCAGGTTGAAACACCAGTTTCTATATGATCACTGAAATTAAGTAAAGTCAAGCCTGGTCAGTACCTAGATGGGTGACTGGTTGAAAATATCAGGTACTGTCACCTTGGAGGTGCAGATGGTGCAATGGATAATGGTTTAGAATTTGAAGTTGAAGAGCTGAGTTCCAATTCCATTTATTTGCAACACCCTACCTGGTCGACCAAGACTTCCAATACCGCGTCTGGTCAATCCAGAGCTAACCTTATCCCACATTGTGATTTAATTTTGATCATAAGCCAGCCAAGATCAAATCGTCGCAGGTATCTGGCTAATCCAAGCAGGGCGATGACATACAGGAAAAAAAAAAATAACACTCAAAAAAATTGTACAAAAGTAAATACTGTTTTTATATCAGTTTTTCATTTTACAGCTTGCATTTTCAGCTGCACAGAACACATGTCAATCATCATTTCCCCCTAAATCAGGGTCATTTTCCATTATTCAAACTGCTCAATGTACAATTGAAGTCATTTATGTGTGAATTAAATCCTCAATTCTTCCCACAGGTTTTCAGTATTAACCCTTCTCATTTCAATATCTCTTAGTACATGGCATTTTCTTATGTTTTAACAAAACTTTCTTCTGTTTTACTGCGGCAACAACAAATAGTATCACACAGTAAGGTTCATTATATCCACTTATGCACAAATGCCCTCGGCAAAGGCATGAACCTACCTCTTCTTCCTACAGTTATGGATTAATAAGTAAGACTAGTATCAGTAAGATAATTATCATCTCCAAAAAAATTCTTACAATCTAAAAATATTTCTAGTTAAATATTTCTAGCCACCTTTTGCAGGTTATTTAAAACTTGCAAAAGATTGATAAGCCCTAAAAACACTAGAGTCTGTTTATATTTCCCTTACTGAAGCAAGATATTTTGATAGAAGAAACTTGCCTAACAGGTAATTTCACAGTATAAAGAAGGGAAACAAACTCAGAAAACACATTTATAATTAATCAATAATTGATTAATAAACAAGATATTGTAATTGATTTTATTAAGAGTGTAAAGTCTATTTATCTATCCTCAGAAAATCATGACTAGAAATGAGTGATATTGTTTTCTTTTAAGGAAATAATAAATAAAACAGACCTTCAAATTAAACAGGAAGTTTAACAAAAAGAAAAGCCAACCAATCTTCCCTGAAGATGATGTGAATAGACATTGAAATATATTGAGGTGATATCAAACTAATTTGACCCAAAGAAAATAACTTTACTCATTAGTTTCACCAGTTCTAACTTTCATAACTGAAACTGACCAAGCTACACACACTGTTGCAAACCACCTTCATTCCCTTTGTATTCTATTGGTGAGATGTAAGTTTCACTTGAACATCTTCCCATGTGGAACCAATTCCCAACAGGATGCTTCCCTGATCACACCAATCTTAACCTGTTCAAGTCTAGGTTTAATTGTTATCTTCCCCATATATCCTCATAAATTGTGTCCCTTAACACTTACACTGTAACTCTCTACCTTATGTGGCTCTCGAGCATTGTACAAGGTGAACATTATTGTAAAAGAAAAATTAAAAAAAAATAAAGGCAGTGTATGGCATTCTACAAACACCAGTTAATCTCAAATTGTAGACATCGATAAAATATAACCAATGCATTTTAGAAGATTGCTAGCTATAAACATGTCCGTACTTGTGAGTATTCTCTTAAAAAATTGTCCCTTGTTGCAGGTTACCTCTCTACATTTGGATACAGTTATCATATTCTTGGCTCCAAACAGCAGGGCAGACATGAATCCCTATAATGTAAAAGAAAATCAACAAAATCTCTTGCTATTGTGTGGTACTGCAGTGATGCTTTGTGTTAGTGATAATTGTATTTCAGCTCAAAACCATGCCAGACCCCAGGCTCTTCATCTGAAAAAAGTCATAGTTGTATCAGTTTACTATGTCAGAAATCTGTCATCCTACTTGGTAAACTTTCTGGAATTTTGAACCAGAAGTAGATTGTTCTCATTGTATTTTCCATCCTTTGGTGATGTTTCATATCAGTTAGGGGAGATAACCCACATCAGTCAGGGGCGATAACTCATATCAATTAATAGTCACTTGTTTTAATCACCTTTGTTGAACCAGAGTATATGACTTTTCAACACTATCAGACACAGGAATTGAACTCACAACCCTGTATCTGAATGGTACAATGGCTAAAATGTGATTTGGTTGGGTGATTTTGTTTAAGAGTATATTAACCTCTATGGATTATTTAATGCTGAAAGCTAAATATTTTGAACACAGTTTTATGCCTTCTACTACAGTTATTTTGTATGTATTTTTTTATTTATTTTTTTCTTTGCACTTTATTTAAAGCCAGAATGTATTTTTAGAAATTTTTGGGGTGGTAATAATGGCTTACTGATATAAGTTTTACTAATTAATCCATAGCTGGGTGGATTCATACCTTTCCTAAGGGTATTTGCATATAAGTGAATATAACAAACCCAATGGGAATTGGAACTCGGTTCTCTGATTAACAATTCTAAATCTTTGTACATTACTCCACCTGCATCTCCAAACTGACAGTACCTGATATTCCCAACCAGTCACCCATCATGGTACTGACCAGACTCGACATTACTTAACTTCAATGATCATACAGGAACTGGTGTTTCAACTTAATGTTGTTCAGAGTCCACCAAAATCAAATTCACGCAAATAGTCTTGTCAAACTCTCTCTGATTCACTGACATCTCCACCACTGGGGGCAAGGGAGAAAAGGAATAGGAAGAGAGGCTGCCATTTCCACCACTGGGGGCAAGGGAGAAAAGGAATAGGAAGAGAGGCTTCCATTTCCACCACTGGGGGCAAGGGAGAAAAGGAATAGGAAGAGAGGCTTCCATTTCCACCACTGGGGGCAAGGGGGAAAGGGAATAGGAAGAGAGGGGGCAGGGCCATCTCCACGAAGAGGGCTGCCATCTCCCACCACTGGGGGAAAGGGAATAGGAAGAGAGGCTGCCATTTCCACCACTGGGGGGGGAAAGGGAATAGGAAGAGAGGCTGCCATCTCCACCACTGGGGGCAAAGTGGAAAGGTAATAGGAAAAGAGGCTGCCATCTCCACCACTGGGGGCAAGGGAGAAAACGAATAGGAAGAGAGGCTGCCATTTCCACCAAGGGAGAAAGGGAATAGGAAGAGAGGATGATGATCTTGATGCTCAGATGTGACTGGGTGCAAATAATGACTTTCTCAATATTAAACTAAATTAAAAGAAAAAATTAAACAACAATAATAACTGATTCTCTATCTCGTCCCCTTGATGTATACAAAAACAATTACCATATATGAAACTAATTTCTATACATAACATATTGAAACATATCTCACTTTCACCTACTGTCCAGTCCAAACTCCTCACCAGTCTTTTGGACAAGAGTAGAGGTTTATCCCTTGTTTCCTGTTTAGGATTAGGTTTCTAGTTCCTTCTAAAATCTACTTCAGTTTTTCTCTCCTCCACCAAGTGGAGTAGATAGGTTCACCTATGGCTTTTTCACACTCTGCCTCAGTCTTTTGAACTGGAGTAGAGGTTTATCCCTCGTTTCCTGATTAGGATTAGGTTTTTGCTTCCTTCTAAAGTCTTTTTTTTTTTGTTCTCTTTTACTCCCCTTGCATCATACTAGCATTATTGCCTACTTGGCATGAATTGATTTAAAAAAAGAAGAAAAAAAGTTTATTTATTTACAGAGCCAATCATAATTTAAGAATTGCTTTAAAACAATGTTTATAATATATGACACATCTACTACATCACCAGAAGAGTCCACTACAGAGAGATAGACAATAAAGTTGTATATTGAAAATTAAAAAGAAAGGGATTGTCTGTGGTCAAGAATTAATGGGAACCTTACTGATAAAATATGACTAAGGTTATTATGCATAATATAATATAAATGCATTGCTAATGACTCTGCTATACAGATGCATAAAAAGAATTAATGCAAGTGTTACTGAAAGAATATAGCTATTATATATTTAATGTAAATACATTCTTTAATATTTAAGGATTGTCAGGGTTCAGGAATTAATGCTAGTATTGCTAAAAGAATAGGGTTATATGTATAATGTAAATGAATTGCTAATGATTTTCACTGTAGAAATTCATTATAAATGATTTTAATATAGAGATTTATTGATGTTAATTTTAATATAGAAATGAATAGTATATGGCTATTAAATGTTTGATGTAAATTTATTGCTTATCATGTTATTGAAATGCATTGAAAATCAAAAAAGGAAGGGATTGTCAGTGGTCAGGAATTAATACAAGCATTACTGATAAAATAGAGCTATAAGGATTTTACAATAGGAATGCATTGAAAATCAGAATGATAGCATTTGTAACTGATAAAATTAAATTTTAAAAAAGTCAAAATTTATAGATTTAATATTAAAAAGTGTAACTGGTAAAATGTTAAAATTTGACAATAATCGTAATATTCCAACTAAAATCATTTAATGCAATATCTGCTGTTACTTTTTCTCAGTTAACTTTGAAATGCACATCAGTTTGGTGCTGCATGCAATATGGATGCAGTGATTGAACAACCAGCTGGTTTTCTGAATTTTAGTCTTTTATTTGAAGCAAGGATGAAAAATTCTACTTTGCAAAGATATGAAGTCATAAACAGATTTGAAAATGCTTCGATCTATGATGCCTAAAAGTTTTCGTGTGATTTTTTACTTCAAAATTTATTTTTGATGTTCAGTTATTTTTATGGCATTCATTTTTACTTTCAAAGGAAATGGTAAAAAAAACATGTTTCTTTTACACCCTTTCTTCTTGCGTCCTCCATCTTCAAAAAATTTATTTCTGTACAGCTTGTGGCTTCATGCACCCCAGATTAAAAATCACGGGTCAAGAAAGAAGTATACTTTAATTATTTCGAATAAAAAAACTTATTCGAAAATGAAAAATAGTGTTTATTTTTTTTTTGCTTTGTTTTTTTTTTTTTTTTAAGAGTGTTTTCATTATTTAAGATTTGTTCAAATTATTGACCCCAATTTTTATATTGGTGACATTGTTACATCAACATTTCAGCAGATCTGATCTTTGGCTTTCTTTACAAGGAAGTGCAATTTAGCCACCTTCCAAAACAATCGCCTTTTTTTTGTTATAAGGAAGCCAAGACAAATTTTTTCATAGGCAAGTGCAAAAAGAAATTAAAAAAAAGAAGCATATTTAATATTAACTTTTAGTATTTCATACAGCATAATACTGCATTTACATTTCTGTTCCATAATGCCTAACTCTGCACAAAAGAAACATACAGTACATATGTCATATAAAACCCACCATTTTAGATCAACTTGTACTCTTTAGCTAAAGAGGTGGATTTATAAATCATTTCCATTAATGGCCACATCCATGTGACTCATTTAAAAAAAAAATTTATCTGTTTTTGGACTTTTCTCAATCATAATGGTATGGCAAATTGAATGATTCCCTAAGCAAAAGTGATCCTGAATTTAGTCAATTTATTCAGAAATTGTCAAAAGAAATAATGAAAATGGAGATGCTACTCAAAGTGATATCTCAGTGTCATCTGTTCACACCAGCAATCTCAGTAACTTCAATGATAATGAGAGTAATAGTGACACCAGCATGGATGACTTACTTGCATTTATTATCTTTTATTTTAGTCTTTTTTCTGAATAATAAAACACTGGATTTTGATAGATATTACTGTCCTGATATTTAACCTGATGTATAATTGACACTATTAATTTTTAAGTAGAGTTTGTTATTTTTAAAGACTTGAGTGGTATATTATTAGTCTACAGGTGTTTTCTCAGGTAAAAAATGCCTGTAATACAGGTAATAACAGCATTAATGTTACACTTATTCATTGGTGGGTAGCCATGTCATAGAACTTTGTTTCTTGAAAGTTTCATAAAGTTCTGTGTAAATATTTATAGAAAATGCAAAAGGAAGCTACATCATGGTGGTGGGAAAGTGAAGCTGAAATGTCAGGATTAATAACATTGCAGATTCTTCTTTGTATTTGAATCTAGAATCTCTAGTTCAGTGGTTCTCAAACTTTTTGAAGTCGGGGTGCACTTGAAATCCTAACAATAATTGTATATATAATAACCCCATACCATCAGTAATAATTGCTTTTTATTGGCGATAATCCCTTTCTTCCTGATTTCCCATGCATTTCTATAGTAAAATATCATTATCAATGCACATCTCTATTGTAATGGTCAATGAAAAATGGGTAATTTACAACATAGAATGTAAGACTTGCAAAATGATCCATCGTGATCCTTAGTAAAAGTCTCTCTTTTTTATTTCTTATATCTAGACACATATTTCCCTGAAATGCTAGGTCATACCTAAACATCTTCCAGGGTGCACCAGTACATCGTACAGCAGTGGTTCTCAAACTTTTTGAAGTCAGGGTGCACTTGAAATCCTAACAATAATTATAGGTTAACTATATACAAATTTTGGAAAAATACATAATAATGAAGTCAAATATTGCAGAAAAGAAATAATGCAATAAAAAATATAAAATGAAACATACCTTAAGTTTATTCATTCTTGTGCTTATGAGAAACATGAGCGTAATTAGTCTTAGCGATGTTTGGGCATATATTTGATAGGCAAACTCTCATTTCCTCGTCAATACATTGAAGAGTTCCTCTCTTTTTTGCACGTAAGCCTAATTCACGTAAATATGATGTTTCAAACTGTAGCAAAATGGTCAGAACTTTCTTAGAATATTCTTTTTTTAGCGAAATCTAAAAAGGTTTAGAGACAATTCTTTACGTTTAATCATCAACCCACGATCAACGGATATGATTACATTTGCTTATAAACAAATAAGATAAATTATAAATGATTAATTACTATGAAAGTATAAATAAAGCAACTTTTAAATAAACAATCCTAATCCTCGTTATCATTTTATGTTACATAATACATCTTTTAGTAATCAGCTTTCTCAAAGTAGGCATGGAGGTAACTCTTAGGAGTTTAATACAGCAAAACAAAAGATTCCTATCATTGAAGCTTTTTTCAAGGGCTATCCGCAACGGGACAGGTACTGCAATATAATAAAGTAAGTATATTTATTTCTTATATCTGGACACATATTTCTCTGGAATACCAGGGCGCATCTAGACATCTTCCAGGGTGCTCCAGTGTGCCCAAGCACACCATTTGAGAACCACTGCTCTTAACACACGCCTTTTTATCAGAAGCAATAAGATGAAAGAAAAAGATTTTTTTTTTTTGTTACACTCTCTTATTGTTGTTAACTCCACAGACCCCACCTCCATGAGGTGGAGAGTCACATCCTCACTATGCTAGGACTCTCTTTCTGCAGATTTTAATAATTGCCTTAGGCACCACATAACGGGAGGGGGGGGAGGGTTGCACATCACTTCATCCCCTGGTTAAAGACCACTTGCTTAACATTTACATTGTGTAGCATTTGAAAAAAAAAAATGCAAAAATTGCTTTTCATAATTATGGCTAAAATAACAACTGCTAGAATTGTCATTTTGTATCAGAATTTTGTAGAACATTCATAAATATTTTGTATTCTCTCTTTCTGCTGGGTTTCTCTTGCCGTTTTATTTGCTTTGTGTAAAAACGAGTCTCAGTTGATGATTTTCTCTTTGTATTTTCCTCGCTTGGAAAATCAAAACTTACTATGAATGATTTGACTTTCATTTTCGCTAATAATCAATTAATTTTAACATGCCACTGTGAAACAGTACCATTCTTGCATAATAGAATATTGATCAACAACAACAACATTCTGCTTTGATGGAATTAAAGAAGAAAAACAACAACTAGTCAATAATGTTTCCTTTTTTTTTCTTTTTCAGACATCTTTAACTTGATATTATAGGGATAGAATCTTTGTAATTTGACTTATGACAAAACATGTAGTGCTTACAGCATTATCATGTTGAAACACCGCTTTCCATTTGATCACTAAAGTTAAGTAACATTGAGCCTGGCCAGTACCTAGATGGGTTACCACCTACGAATATCAGGTGCTGTAAGCTTGGATGTGCGATTGTGATGAGAAATTAGAAAGCTGAGTTCAAATTTCAGTCCAGTTTATTATATTTACTTACACAAATACCCTAGGGTGATTATGAATCAAAAAAGAGACATGATTGTCCAAGTGGGTCACATCTGGCTCCTGCCAATGTGGTAGGGTTAGGGTCCATTCTGCCCCATCAATTTGGGTAAGTCCTATGTCTAACAAAGGATCTTCACAGGCCGAGAAGAAGAAAAAAAAAAATGGAGTATTATTAGTTTTACCTGAATAACTCGTCTGATTCAAATCCAGAGACTTTATTTTACCTGTAATCAGTGTTGATTTTTTATTTTACCTGTAATCGATGTTAAGTCTATTTTACCTGTAATCAATGTTGGTTCTTTGTGCAATCAAGCAGCTATTGCTTTTTTTCTTTTAATTTTCTTCATTCAAATCATTTTAAGATCCTGATATATATATATATATATATATATATATATATAAAAAAAATATACTGAAAAAACAAACAAAAATCCTAAGATTTCAGTTATCTGTTTGGATTGGTATTGCTTTTATGTCCATCGTCTTTCAATGTTGAATTGTATATGGTCTATGTTAATTATGTTTTATGAATATGTCCTGAAGATGGTCTGTTAGACCAAACGTCCGATGTTGACATTAAACATTAAAACAGCATAATTGCATATTAAGATTTTTGTTTGTTTTTTCAGTATATTTTTCTTCATACTGTCAGATCTATATCTATATATTTGCTTACATACATACATACATACATATATATATATATATATATATATATATATATATATATATATATATATATTGGAATTTGAATGAATCTCTTGTAAAAGAATTTTTGTGTGGATCCTATTCACTGGCACATTCGCATATTTTATCCTTTAAAATTTAAAAAAAAAATTTCTGTGCATTGAATATTGCTGCTATATTTGGTCTGGTCGTTTGGCTATATATCTTGAGATTCATGACAAAATTCTAAGAATGGAGTCACTTTCCCACCACCATGATGTGGCTTCCCTCTGTCTTTTCTATAAATATTTTCATGCCAATTGTTTTAACAAGATTTCCTCTTTGGGTACCTTAATCATACGAATTTAATCGTACAACTAGATTATCTAATAAATTTTGTTATTTTCATTGAATTAGTTAATGTAACTGTAAGTTCTGTTCTAATAATTTCTTTTCTCGCACTTCTCACCTGTGGAAATCTCTACCTATAATCTTCAAACATTTAAATGCTACATTAATCACCATCTTCTGTCTTCCTGAAACTTGTTCTTTTATTGTCCTTTCTCCTCACTAAAGTCTTCTTATTCTCTTTCATTCCCAGTAACCTCATGCAAATTAGTGGCATTTTTGCCTTACTCGGGGGTGAAATGATTTTTAAAAAAAGTTCTTTTTACATTATGCCTTCCAAAAGCTAAGCAGTGTATCAACAACAAAAATTTCTGAGTTCTGATCCGTTACATAATATCAGTCCTCCTATATGGCAGTGAATGCTGGACAATCTCATCATAGATGAAGAAAAAACTTGAAGCAACAGAAACGTGGTTCTACAGAAGGATGCTGAGGATACCATGGACCTAACATCTGAGCAACGACAAAGTTCTAGAGAAAATCAAAACAAAAAGGACACTTATACTTAACTTCAGGAAAAGAGAGTTGAAATTTCTAGGATACTTAATGAGAAAAGAAGGCTTGGAAAATCTGACACTAACAGGACAGACTGAAGGCAAGAGGAGTAGAAGAAAACAATATAACCTTCCTAGAAAGCTTGAATAAATGAATGGTGGAGCTAGTATTAGGAGAGATAACAAAACAGAAAATTTATTAAGAGCTACAAAGGACAGGAAATTGTAGAGAGCCTTGACTGCCAAGAGGAATACAGTACGTAGATGAAGAAGACTCTTGTTAAGATTCTTCATTTTACCCAATTCAGACAAGAAATCCCCCTTAGCACAAAACATATCTAACATGTCTTCCGCAAAACTGACACTTAAATTACAAGTAATAGTTGTTTGTTAACCGTTTAGAAAATTAATATTGTATTTTTTTCAATATCTGATTTAATAATTTGTTAATGTTAAAAAAAAGAAATAAAGTCTAAAAACTGGAATTATCAGAAATTCTACAAAAAAAAAAAAAAAAAAAAAAGAGAATTATTTTTATAGTCATGAAGCAAGATTATATTAAAATTGACTTTTTTTCAAGTTTTTCTTTTAGTACAAAATTTAAATCCTGGCCTTTTCCAATTTCCTGTTGATATTGTATTTCATGCCAAGATAAGTAAGAAGGTGTTGATATTTATAAAGTTTGGCTGAGTGTAACACAAGGCCAAACAGGAAAATGGAGGTAAGAAGTATGCTATGTGGGGGAGGGCTTGTATTCTATGTAAATGAGCATTTGAATAAACTGACTTTTTGATATTTTCTAAGCCCAGCTTAGTATAGAACAAATCACACCCTACATTTCCATGTCTGTATAAAAGCATTTATTTTTTTAACATAATTTCCTTGTTTGCCAATGCTACTCTAGTAACCACAAGACACATAGATTGATGAGGCAAGGAAGATTGTATACATCAGTCTTTTCAGTGGGGAGGGCCAAACAACCTTGATATTTTCTATACTTATTTTAGTATAACCCCCTCCTCCAACACACACATACATATAAACACATCAGTAAGTCATGTAATGATGAAAATAGTGTTTATTTCTTTATACTAGATTAGAAATCATCATGGCTTGTCAGCTCTCCCTAATTGGAACTCTGGCAAATACAATCTTCCTTGACAATGCACTCAATCCAATGATTCATCATTAACCCTGTATTAGTCACATGGGGTGTTTTGTTACCCCCAAATTTTTAAAATACTCATAATTCCTAGTTGGTAACTTGTGTCTTTTACTCCCTCCCCTTACTCTCCTGACTCAGTGTCATTGTGCAGCATGCAGGGTGACAAAGTTGTAGCTCAGTTGCCATAGGGGGCAGATGCCAGGGGATTATCCAGTTTTGAAAATCTGAAGTGACTAACACAGGTTTAACCACATAGATTGATAAGGCAATGTATATGCCAGTCTTCCCATTGGGGGGCAGTTCTATCAACCTTGATGTTTACTAAGCTTACTTTCATATACTACAAAGGCTCCTTATACACACACAGACATCAATAATACTATAACATAATTATGAAAAAAAGTATTGTTTTTTCTTCCCTGATAGCTATAATCTTCAATTATTCAAACACAATGTCAATCGACATCTTCAGATGCTTTGATCTAATTCCCCATCCTTCTCTTCATCCTTTCCTCTATCACACCTCTTTACTCTTGCTCCCACTCTCTGCAACCCCTAGCATGTTAGTGACACTCTCGCCTTGCTTGGGGTGAAATGCTTTAAAAAAAAAAAAAACAATACCTACTTCCTTACAGATGCACTTAATCCAAAGATTAATAAAGCAAGGTAGATTGTATTTACCAATTTTCCGAATGGGGAGGTTCCTACTAACCTTGTGCTTTCTAATCTAAACTGAGTACAAAACAAAGCCAAAATAATTTTTGTGTTGGGAAAATTATTTGAAAAGTAATAATCATGTCATACTAAACATGTAAGAGATGGTGGAGATGAAGGAAATAACTCAATAGTGCCAGCATTTGTTTTTGCTACACAAAAGGACAATTTTCTATCAAATATCAATGTCGTCCGGAATAATAATACCAGCGGGAACTTTAAAGCTTTAAGTATGTCAGTTCAAATAAACTCTCTGCCTGAAATTTTTATAAAAGTTTAACCCTTTAGCAATCGTAAATATTGGCCCTCAATGTTCAACCCACCGTAACGTGCCCCATGTATCATGATCCTGAGTCCTGTAACTCTTTCAAATTGTAAGGGCACCATATGTACAGCTGCCACTGTAGAAATGGTTTGGCTTGGGCAAGACAGCCTGATAGAGCCCAATACTCTCCAGGCTGGTTTAAATTCAGAGTTTTCATTCTCCTAGACTGGTTGCCACCCAAGGCTATAGAACTTATTCTGTCCTTCTATTTGTCTGTATCTGCAGGGAGAAGAGATGGATTCATACCTTTTCCAAGGGTATTAGCATGTAAATGAATGTAATGAACTTGACTGAAATTCAAATTAACTCTCCAATTCCTCAATCTGAGCCACAATCCATTACTCCACCATACTCTGCCGTAATATATAACAACACCATTGCAAATAAAGTCATGGAAACAATGAGACTTTGACCACAGTGTGGGTTTGAGCATTTTGAGTGCTAAAGGGTTAATAAACGTGGAACATAGAACATTATTTGAAAAATAATAAGTGTGCCATACCAAATAAACACCATGTGTTTTTGAAGGAAATCATTTAATCATGGCAGAACTTGTATTTTATACACATGATTAGTTTTTGGTGAAGAAATTCACTCAAATCTACTTTTTGTGATTTGTTTTATCATGGAATTAATGTTTTTGTGGTTTTCATTCGTATCTTCTTATTTTTTTCTTTTTACCTTTTTTTTTTAATTATCTTCCTGAATTTATCTTTGAAACAATCAAGATAACAGAATCAATGAAGATACACTTTTATTCGCAATATGCAGTAACAAAGCATCTGCAACATTAAGTGCAATGCCAATTTATATTTTAAACAGTTTGTTGTCTATGTAGAGTAATACTCAGTTTGCTACCACTGGTATATAGTGATTTACTAACTGTAGCTTAGATGTGGCACAAACTCAAAAGTATGCAGCATCTAGTGAGGATTGAATACATGACTCAATTGTAATTGTCTAGTGAAGCAATCTTGATAAACATTATACCACATTAAAGTAAACCTTTCATTGATATAACATATTATAACAGCAACTTGTCCAGCTATACGTTATGTGGTATTGAAATTATCCCAATAATCAGCAAACCCAATCATAGACCACTTCTTGGCCTCATATGCCATATTTTTATTTTTTCTTGTCTAG